AAAACACTTTATTATCTCCCCTTGTTTACACATCTCTCAACCCTCTGCGTCCAGCCTTCCATCAAACCAAGAGCAAAAGCATTATTATTATTATTTTTATTATTATTATTTTTTTTTTTATTGTTATTGTTGTTGTCGTCGTCGTCGTCGTCGTCGTTGTCGTCGTCGTCGTTGTCGTCGTCGTCGTCGTCTAATAGCTGTAAGAGTATATTTTTTAAGTATGTGTAAGATGTTACCAGCAAGATTACTGATAATACTATATGCAGGAAATATCCACTCTAAATACTTGACATATTGACATTAATGAACTATAAAAAGATGTTCTATATATCCTTGTCTAGTTTATTAATCATAGACAAATAACAATGTTTGACAACTATCATGTGAACAAACCTCTAAGTAGTTGCAGTTAAATCTAGAATGAACACTTGCAATTAAACAGTTATTACCTACAGTAATTACCATGAATACAGGCAATGAAAAAGGTTTGTCCAGTGACTAATTGACATTAATGTAATTCAAAGAGGAAAGTGCTAATTCTGTCAATATTTTAGTTCATTTACGAAATTAAGTGGTGAGTTATATATGCTCTTTGATCGCTCAGTTTTACGGAGTTGCTCAATTTTGATATGATGGATGGACGCTCTAAATAACTGTACCCATTTTTATTCTATTTCGACTGTAGCTCTGTATTGTCCGTCCATCGTCCATCCGTTCACCTATCAATCGTCTGTCCATCCATCGTCCGTCCGTCCATCGTCCGTCCGATGGATGGACAAACCCCAATTAATATTTTATTATAAACTTCTTGTGTCAATTTCGCACAGACAGCGTTAGAATATTCTTCAGATAGCTGCTTTTTCAATAATTTGTCGGATGTCAATAATAAAAATTCCCAGTTATCTGTAAAGACCTTTTAGGCCGCTTGTTATCGTTGTTAGATAGAAGCATTATGTTTAATTTGTATGCATTTTATAAAGAGTATCTACAGTAACACTAAACAAGGGAATGAGAAGAGAGTATATCACCTTTACGATCACTTGGAGGATCCGAGATACGATCATCTGTGGGATTTGAGGGCAAAATACGAGCATAGAACTATTTATTTTGTAATTAAACCGTAAATTTCCTTTTGAATAATGGAAATTACGTGCGGGATTATCCTAAGGTTCATCTGTAATCATCAGCTGTAGCATTGTAATATTCTCTCATAGATCCGACAGCTTGTTCTTGTTCACCAACTCGTAACTTGGTTAATATCAGGTCTTCGATGGGTATTATTATCGATTATTATTATAGTGCAAGGAGCTTGTTTTGACGTATAGGGAAGGTTCTTGAGGAAGTCACTATTGGAAAACTTATAACCAAACAGAAGTGTGTTAACAGTAGATGCAGTGAAGGTTCAGGAAATAAAGATAAATTTTCCACTTCAAGTAATTATGTTAAGGATTATGTGTGAGGCATTTATTGATCCGGGAAAAACCTGTGATGGAGAAGATGCAAAAGTAGTGTGGGAAGTAGTAATGAATGTATGGAATGAATGAGTGCATGTAGGTGGGGGGAGTGCATGTGTGTGGGTATGTGTGTGTGGGGGGGGGGTTGTGTGGGTGTAGAGAGAACAGCAAGGAGATGATTTTAAGCTTGAAAATGACACAATATACTCGATGTGAGATGTATCATGTGTGGGAGTTTGTGTCAGTTGCATCGGTAATGTTCAAAAAGTTTAGAAGCAGCGGATACGATATGCTTCAGTGCAACACGAGAAGTGAATAAGATAAAGAGAATGAGAAACACTAATGAAAAAAAGGAAGTATAAAAGGAAAGACGATAATCTGGACATAATGAGAGAAAGGTAAGAGGAATGAAGAAGGATGTAATAATGGAGGATGTTTTTTACACATGTCTTAGTTATTTCCACTCACTTTCTACACATGTCTTAGCTCTTTCATCTCACTTTCTACACATGTCTTAGCTCTTTCATCTCACTTTCTACACATGACTTAGCTCTTTCATCTCACTTTCTACACATGTCTTTGCTCTTTATCACATTTTATTCTTGCCTTGCACTAATTTCATCAACTATTACACCTCCTCCCCACTTTTTTATCTGGGGCTTCTGCACTTTCATTGAGCCACTTGACACTAGAGTGAGAAATGAGTGAATAACTAGATAGAGAAATAAACGAACATTATTGCCTAAAGTGGATACATGTCTTGTTTTTTTTTTCACATTATATCAGGCTGTCTTTGTTGTTTGGTAATATATTAGGAAACATATATATATATATATATATATATATATATATATATATATATATATATATATATGATACAATCTAGTGCGTTATGAGTTAATATATATATATATATATATATATATATATATATATATATATATATATATATATATATATACATATATATATATGATACAATCTAGTGTTATGAGGTTAATATATATATATATATATATATATATATATATATATATATATATATATATATATATATATATATATATATATATATATTTGTTATTGTGGTTTTGATGGATATTTGTTTACATTCTTTTCTATTTTATCCTCGTCTAATATTATTTTTTTCTCTGGATTTGTTCATTATAGATGGCAGAGATTAATTGTTTATTTTTTATTTATTTTTTTTGGTGATTGTGGCCGAATTATATTAAATATTACTGATAAATTTCTTACTTCTTCATTATGATTGAATTGGTTTTCTTAAGGAATTTCTCTTTTGCATATAGGATGATCAGATATTTAATTTTGTCTAAATATCTTCTTTCTTTTTTCGATATATATGGATGATATTTTTTTAATAGCTTTTTTTCTTTTTATTATCGGTCGTTATGCTTTTGTTTTCCAATATTTGTTGTTGTTGTTGTTGTAGAAAGATCACAATTATACTGTATCTATATTTTTGCTTACTTTAAAAAATATATTTCATATTTTTAGTTTTACCAGGTATATATTTTTTTGTTTCCTTGTGGTTGTATTATCATTATATCTGTCTCTGAATTACTAAGCCACACACACACACATACTGTATATATATATATATATATATATATATATATATATATATATATATATATATATATATATATATATATATATATATATATTTCTAATTTTGTATTCCTTTCGTATCCATAGTACCTATATAGAAAACAATTCTCTGTTTCTTTCTTTTATCTCTCTCTTTCTCTTGGTAGTTACTTATTCAGTTAGATAAGGTTATTAAAACACATCTCTCACATGATTGGTTGTTTTATCTGAGGTTTAAAGTGTGAGACAGTTCTGGCCCGGAAGGACGGAGCTCTACCGTGTGTGTGTGTGTGTGTGTGTGTGTGTGTGTGTGTGTGTGTGTGTGTGTGATTGTTTAGTTGTACGCATTTTGTATTTTATGTGTGTGTGTGTGTGTGTGTGTGTGTGTGTGTGTGTGTGTGTGTGTGTGTGTGTGTGTGTGTGTGTGTGTGTGTGTTCCTGTAACTAAATGCATGCGTATGATGTTTAAAAACCAACGCACCCACGCTCTGGCTTATATACTGCTGTTATGCGTAGATGTGCGTATGTTCCTCGGTGGTCATGTTGAGTGTCCCGTTGTAACTTACTGTTCGTGTATACGCCTCTGTGCTCTATTAATGTGTAGTCTGGTAATTGTAGTAACTACACCATATATACGCACCAAATTTATATTTCCCTGGGGAAGGTGAGTGTTATGCGTAAGGATTTATACGTTATACTTAGGTGTGTGTGGTGTGTGGTGTGTGTGTGTGTGTGTGTGTGTGTGTGTGTGTGTGTGGTCGTGTGTGCATTGGTGTATCTATATAAAGTCAGATAGTAATACACATAATATTTGCCTTAAAAATTTCATAGGATTTGATTCATCGTCTATTAAACATACAAATATACAATTTATTCTGCGTCTGTGTGTGTTTGTCTGAAGAGTTAGTGTGTGTGTGTGTGTGTGTAAGTAAGTATTTATATACCACATATCTATATGTATGTACGTTTGAAAAAACATAAAAGCTTGAATACAAAACACACGGGAATGCTATCAGACATGTAAAGGATCATGCCAGACATAATTGTGCGGTTGAACTGTGTCAAACAACGAATTGAGATACTGTTTATTCCCATTTTTTTTCTTAAGCAACTGTAGACAGATCACACACACACACACACACACACACACACACACACACATACATACATACATACATACATACATACATACATACTCTAAGACATGTTTATTATATGCTATATACTGTATACTACTGTATATATACACTTCAACAATCTGTCCAGTTGTATGAAATAAGTTGTTTAGGATAAATATATTTGTCTTTAGTGTATTTTCAACCGCACGTATACCAGAACAGACAAGTATATTAGTGATTTTTTTTGTATTTTATAACAGAGTAGTGCCCTTTTTTCCGAGTTGTGCGTGTATGTTTTGTGTATAAATTTACACACATATATATATATGTATATATATATATATATATATATATATATATATATATATATATATATATATATATATATATATATATATATATATATATATATATATATATTTATAAGTATCGCGCACACACACTCACACACACACATCATATCAGACAAGTCGGTGAGTGTGTATGTGTCAGGTGTCAGTATGTGTTGTTGTTGTTGTTGTTGAACTGTGTGAAAAATACAAATGATAAAGATGGATTTCTAAAACTGTACATAAATTATAATTCACACTAGACACTTCTCCATACACGTAAATAAATCATGAATGTTTTCCACAGACAATCACAGTGCCCTCTTGAGCTGTGTACGCGTGTGTGTGTATGTATAGCTGTACATGAACCGCGCACACACACACACATACTATCGTACATGTATAAGGGGAATAATGAAATTCTGACACAGTTTGTCCATCTTGAAAAGGTGTGACTATGTATAAATGTATATAAATCAGACATCCTGTCAGACATATTTGTTTTTAATGAGTTGGTGATGCACAAGTCCATTGGGAGATGAGTGATAGAGAGATGTTTGTAGTGGTGCCAGCGTCCACCAAGGCGAACATCCACAGGTGACAGCATCCATAAGGGCGAGCATCCATAGGTGATAACATCCATAAGGGCGAGCATCTATAGGTGACAGCAGCCTCAAGGGCGAGCATCCACAGGTGACAGCATCCATAAGGGCGAGCATCCACAGGGGCGAGATGTCTTCTCAGGTAACACATGGGGGTATCCAATCGTGAACGGTGAGGGCGACAGGGATATATATGTATATGTATATATAAACTCTAAAGGTCACGGCTATAAAAATTATTTTTTCACTTTTTGTTTTGAGTTTTAGAGGCATCGTAGGGAGGTCTGTCTAATGACACACACACAAAAAATATTTATAACTTTTTTTTTTGTAATACTAAAATCCTGAATTACTGTGAGTATTACATTTAATCAGTCTCTGACACCTGACAGTATCTCCGGGGTGGTAAAACAATGTATACAACCAAAATATACAGGATGTCGTTCAGAAAATGGCTATATTCACCTTTACAGACAACCTGTTCTATTACCAGTGGTGGTAGAAGTATCGTGTTGATGACACGAATCAACTGTATGTTGCTCCATAGACCATCTATTTTTTTAATGGTGAAATGATAATTAGACCAACCTAATGTGCCTGATGAATCTTCAAAATCAAAAAGGAAAAAAAAGTCCTTAGAGCGTTGACCCTGATAAACCTCTCATAACATAGTGATCACAGCGAGTGTCTGGAAGTGTCTCTCCATTACGAAGGGGGAAAATCTTGAATGGCAATGAGTGGAAATATTATCAAATGAGTTCGACTTGCACGGGAGGATATAAAATACTTCATAGAAGCTGCTTGTTAAGGGGGAGACATTACGTTCGTCTACACAGACATAAAGTAAGCAAGGAGAGGAAGAGGGTTAAGACGCACGGTGACATGTAGGTTGTGGCCGCATCTGTGGAGAGACAAAATATACCTTTATAGTGGGTTTTATTGACGTACTGTACGGTAAATGTGTATGAACAAATAAAATTAGTTTCTTTAGCTTTAAAATTAGAGATGCAAGGATAGTGGGTTAAAATTGAAGGTAAAAGGGCCAGGGGAAGGCTGAGATTAGGATGGGTGAATGAATAGGTGTGGTCTAGAAGGATTGGTAAAGACAGCCCGAAAACTTTGAGACGGTGGAAGAAAAGGGTATTCAGTGTAATTTAGTGAAGTCGTGAATATAGACAAAAAACGACAAACACGTCTTAGCCATTAGCTGTGTTGAAAGGGGTTGAATTAAAGGCATTGTACTGTCTTATATGACCTGGTGAGTTGGTGACCAAGTTGAAGGACAATAATATTATACTAAATGAACGTCATTACCTTTTCACTGCATTACTTAGCTCTATACACGCATTTGCTGACGGACCACACCAAGAAAATTACTCCCACGACCTTGGCCTAGTCCGCCTGTCGCTCACACAGAGGGAGCGACAGGTGAGGGTGTGGGATAATGTGAGTCACACTATCACACTTTATTACCCGTGTTGTGTTACCCTCGCTATAGCGATAACACAGACAAACTCACAACCAGTAATATGAATCACTGTTCATGAAGGAGGTTAGCGTTGTTACTGGCCGGCAGCACCAGGCAGGGGGGAAAATTTCTTGGAGTAAGTCAGTAAATTAGGGAAGGTATTCATAGTGCTGGGTAAACGCAGCTGAAAATAGGGATGTTATTATTATGATTCACCGTAATTTTCTGTGCCTCCTGTAATTTATGGAAATACTTTAACGTGAATCGTGAATAAACGAAACAAAGGAGTTTTGGAATTTTAATTTATTGGTAATTTTTTTAAGTTATCAGGAAATGAGAGAAAAATAGATACTTTGTGGTATTTGCTGAGTTCTTTGTTCAGGAATGAAGGAAAATTTATGTAAAGTATTACACTTTACCACAGTGCGATAGTTTGGGGGAGTATTTTTTTTTTGTAAACAGTCAGCGTTTGACAATAATTTACTAAAATGTTTTTGTGTGAATTTAGAATAAGATAAAAGCAGAATACTTGTTATTATATTATGCCGCAATATTTGTGTATGAATTTTGAATGAATGGGGAAAAACAATTATATATTGATAATCGTGTTTTAATACACTACTCTGCCCTGGAACTTATGTTGTTACCGACAACATATGAAAACAGTTCCCATAATTATGACAGAAGTAAACACTCGGGACATACAGTATATACAGACGTTCAGTCAACACGACAAGCAGAAAAATGGCGATTTTATTTGATGTTTTAAATTAGTTTGTATTTTTTTTTTATCTGCCGGCGTAAACGACATGAATTAGGTTCACTGAATTTTTAAATGTCGAGTGTTTTCACATTTAATGCTGAAACATGGAAAAAAATTCTCCCAGCCATCAAAAATGCAATTGCGTTATGCATATTATATATTGGTTTCGAATTAAAAATGATTACGACTGGAAAAAAAATATATATATGGCAAATTCCCTTTGATCCATGCGATTCATAATAAACCTAAACAAAAAACCATTGAATTTGTAGTTAAATACTGACTATAATGTTATATATATATATATATATATATATATATATATATATATATATATATATATATATATATATATATATATATATATATATATATATATATATATCATGTAGATCCACAATGAAAACGTGAGAACGTGATAGTCTTGATAAAAGAAGGGAACAGCACCTTCGTTGTTTCCCCTTTTCCCGTGTGATTTTATCAATAATATATATATATATATATATATATATATATATATATATATATATATATATATATATATATATATATATATATATATATATATATATATATATATATATATATATATATAGTATTTTGTCTCTTTAGCTCTACCTTACCCTCTGCAACTGTCTTGTTTTCCTCTTCTTGGTATTAACATTCCTTCTTTACAGTCTACATCACCAGCACCGCCTCATGCTCCTTCATATTCCCTCTCCTCTTACCTTCATCCCTCCTCCCTCCTATTCCCACGTCTTTCTTCGGTTATCCTTCGGTCTCCCTCTTCCCACCCCACGACTCTTCTACACTGCCTACTTTTTCCTCCCACCATCCATCCTCTCTTTCCCCCTGCACCCCCCTAACCCGCCCCTCCTCCTTTCAGCCTCGCCTTCTTCCTGCTTCTCTTCTTCCCCCATTCTCCTCTCATCCTTCTCCCCTATTATCCTTTCCTTTCCATCTATCTTCCATCCCCTTCTGCTTTATCTCTCTCTACCTCATTCGACTCATCCCTCCCATTTCCAATATCCTCTACCCCTCTCCCCATATCCCCTTTCTCTTATCCTCCTCATCCTTACTCTTCCATCCCATTCATCTCTCTCACCCTGCATTACCTTCACCCCTTCCACCTTCCATGCCCTCCTCTTCCCCCAATGCCTCCTCCTCTCCCACTTCCTGTTCCCATCCTCTGTCCTCTCCTTCCCTTCCACTCTCCATCCCCTGATCCTCTCCCACTAACCCCTCCCTCTTCCCCTCACACCTTCCTCACGTTTATTGGAGCCTCGTCATTAAAGGCTCAAGCTATCGATAAAAATATCTCTAATAAACAGCATTTTTTTAACAACCTGTCTTTAAGAACATCCAGGTTAGGGCAGAATTTTCATTTTTCCGGGTCATGTACCTCACTATAGCGATTAATTGAGGACACAAAACAGCTATAGGGAGAATTGTTGCATCTAGAGAGGGAATAGTGGGGAATATCCCTTGAGATGTGAAATTGGAGGAAATTATTCCTTTGCAGACGAAAATTTTAGGGAAATACTTATCTTGGACTTAAACTGGGAAAAACCTTTGCGGGGATGAGACTTGGAAAATTTTATTTTTTTGTGTATGGAATCATGGATTTGAGGGATAGAATACCTTGCCTTAAAAAAAATCTCCCAAGTTATGGCAAAAAAGGATTTTTTAATAATAAAATTTTAAATAAACCCAGAAAATTTTGCTCTACCAATATCCTGCCTTAAAGAAAAAAATCACATTACCTTACTTTAATTCATGCTTTTTTTCTCCTGTTGTCAGAGTATTTTTTATTAGGTTTTAATCTCTGGCGAACTAGAGTGAAGGAAAGGCTACATTTGTCTCTCTTATTATGTGGCGTGTATATCACTAACCATACTCGACTGCTACTCATCAGAAACAGCTATTGAACGTCATGAGTGTGTGCGTGTGTGTGTCGCACCTGTTTGCTGGAGGGTGGGCAGGTGGTGGGGCTGGCTGTAGGTGACGTTGTCCAGGTGGAGGGAGACGTCTGTACTCCACTCGTACGCGTGCACTGTAGCGCTACATCTGTTGGCAGGAGGAACACAGAGTTCACGGGTCAAAATACTATATATTACTGTATGTATAGCGTATATAGATATACTAGACATTAGTATACATTGCTTGAGTTCAGGATTGGCAGAATAGTTGTCTATATGTGTCAGTCAGTCAGTCAGTCAGTCAGTCAGTCAGCCAGTTAGCCAGCTATTCGCCCAAACACTCAGTCAGGTATTCACTAAAACATTTACCTAGCCAAGTCAGTCTCTCTGCCAGTCATTTACCCAATATTTGGTGTTTATAGAGCTGGCTGACGTAGTCCAGTATCATATACATTACACGCTTACACACACACACACACGAAAAACATCCACTGTTTAAATACGTGACACTAACAATGTTTAAAAATCACTATTTATATTAATTACTCACTTATATTTTGTTGACACGCTTCATTTTATAACGTAACATGTAAACACGAGCTTGATCACCTGGTTCATTATAGGCAATCGTCTTTTTATCATGACTTAACTACTGTATGTATTTTTCCACCCTCCCCACACACACACACACAAAAAAAAAACAATCGAAGCCCTAAGTATTATGTGCGACTTTTTGTTTTGTTTTCCGCGACTTGTTTTTTTTGCTCACATGACAAACAAATTCTATGGTGCTAAAGTCATTATATTCAACTCCCCCTTTATTTTTTCTTTGGGATTTTTTTTTTTTTTACCTCTTCTATTATATAAACAGGTACTTGGTCGTCCATATCATTATATTCACATTTCCTTGTCTTATAATGAACTTTTTATCCACTAAACATATAAAACATATCATTGTAAGTCATCCGCCACCTTTTATTTCGTCACGGAGAAAAATCACTCATAAACACTTCACGATCCTGAAACTCCCAACCCTCGGCCGCTAGTCCAGTACAGCATTACGATTTTGCCGAAGGGAAACACTAAATTGTCAATGGCGGAAATACCTTCATTTTAAACGGACACGCGCCGCATTACTGCATTTCCGCTCAACCGAATTCCCCCTCCCCCCTGCCCCTCCTCCCCCCCCCCTCTCCCCCTGCCCCTCACTTCTCGCATTTTATTGTGTATTTATTTTTTTCCATTTCAGTCGACTTTCTTTCACGCTCTTTGCTAAGTTCTTTTTACCCCAGGGTGTGATGACTCCAGTACGGTGTTGTGCCTAATAATTCAGTTTGTTGTTTTTGGCGATTAGTTTTAGGAGTGTATGTTTGTTTATTCTTTATATTATAATATGTTTGTCAGTCATCCTTTCAGTCTATCTATCTTATATCTGTGTTTATATATTATATCCATTATGTTATATGCCTATTATTGATTAGTTTCGTGTGTGTGTGTGTGTGTGTGTGTGTGTGTGTTTTAGATATCCAGGTATATATTAATAAACTTGTCGATGAAACAGATATACTGTATATATTATAGAGAGAGAGAGAGAGACAGACGAACATACTGTAGGTCATAACTCTACCCCAAAGGCTATAATGTACCACTCACTGTGTATCCTTGTCCATTAGTATGTGCTCTCTCTCTCGATTTATCTCTTTCTGTCAATAATTATCATCTATCTATCAGTCTGTCTATCTGGTTCTGTTTCTGACTCATTTTTGTGTTTTACGAACGGGTGAAATTGTTTGGGCTTCACCTATTAAAGTCATCCTCTCTCTCTCCCTCCCTCCCTCCCTCCCTCCCTCCTACCCGGGTATGCCTCTCCCTCTCACCCTGCTTTCAAAACAGGGATAGGCAGGCGGAATCTCCCATCCACAAACATTTATGACATGGTACCTCTCCATACGCTTGGTTTTTGGTGTGTATGTATGGTGTATGATCGTTGTTTTAGTGGTGGGTAAGTGTCTTGTATGAATTTAGAATCGTGTGTATCTGTCCCCTATAAACTTTACGGCAGAGGTTGAGTTCTGTATCAACATGTGGTGGGTGGTGGTGGTGGTGGTGGTAGTGTGGTGGTGGTGGTGGTGGGGTGGTGGTGGTAGTGGTGGTGGTGGTGGTGGTGGTGGTGGTGGTGGTGGTAGTGGTGGTGGTGTTGGTGGTGGTGGTAGTGGTGGTGGTGGTGGTGTTGTGTTTTGGAGTCCTGTTTTGTTTTTGTTTTTTTAGGAATTCGTATGAATTTTAAAGGTATATGAAAGGGGGGTTATATTTAAGGGTGCGTTTTAAGTGCGTTGCGTTATTTTTTTTTTTTTAGGTGTTTATGATTCCTGTATGAATGTCAGTATGAGTGGTGTATGAATGTTTAGCGGCTTGTATAAATCCTGTTTGATTTTTTTGTTTGTGTGGTGTGTGTGTGGGTGTGTGTGTGTGTATAAGCACGTATGAATTTTTACTGATGTGTATGATTTCTGTATGATTCGAGTTTTTGGATCATGCGAACATTAACCCCTCCTCCCCCCCACACCAACTTATTGCGCTTGACGATTATACACTCTAAAGTTATACTTAGGGGTTAGGTTAGGTTAGGTTAGGTTAGGTTAGGTTACCATTTGGGTGTTTAATCATAAGGTGAAATAAAATGGTGTACTTAATGTTCATATGAGCCGATTTTCCTCTATATATCAAGGATGATTCTCATTATTACTGTTTTGAGTTGATGCTATGACATTTGATGGAGAATCCTGAGTCTCCCATGAACTGTAATATTTCTCCGTTTTTTTTTATATATATACTGCGTTTACTTCCCTTCTATCTCCCCCTCCCCGTGACAGGAAGCATGAAAACCGTGTCCACAATCTAATTATTTTATCTTCAATCCTCAACTAACCATAGTGAACGTCTCCATTGTTAAGTCGTTGCTACTGTTGATATGACTAAATTTTGTTCTCTAGTTACCCCCGTAATCGTTTTCTTTTATATGTACTGTACTCCCGTTCTTCTTAGTATGTTTTTTTTTTCCTTTAGTTATCCCTGTTCGTCTTCTTTTATCTCTACCTTCTTAGTGACTTGTAAGAGGAAAAAATCTTGTGTCAATCGGGTTGTGTTTCCTTGTTGTAGGTGTTGATATTAATATTTCTTACCATTTTATCAGTTACTTCTGTTTGTTTTCTCACCTTACCTCCCCTGGCCTCTGTGTAACCATCCAGGATAATTTATCTTACATTTTTAATCCCTAGGTGCAGCTCTTTCTCCCGCTTCTTTGTTGGTGCAGATTTTCTTTCTCCTTTACATACATACATACTCAATTTCCTTTATCCTAACTGGACTTCCGGCGTTAAGAACTTATTAGGGGAGTAGTGTAGTCTTTTATAAATCTAACTTGTTTTTAGATATCCTCACCAACTGGGGGAGATATACCCACCACCCCCTCTCATCTAGTGTGTGATGTGTGTAATGCCTCTGTGGGGATAAACACCATGTCTTTGAGTCAAGGTCTTCCCCATCCGTCCAAGATGAATAATAAATGAATGAATTTAGAATGTGAACCAAATAATTTCATCTCATTGTAAAGTTTCTCCTGTTCGCTGCTCTGGTATGGATTTTTGTTAGTTGGTTTTATACCTTCACTTAAGTACGGAGTAGAGTGTGTCAGAACTTTTTCTTACGTCCGTCCGTCTGATTTTTCTCTTCCTCCGTCTCTTCGTCTGACACTAGGTTACTCACGTGATAAAGTCTCCTACGGTCTCTTCCACGAAACATACTGAAACGTGGCGCATATATTATGGAGTGACAGTTGTGATGTGGGTCATGGCTCGGTACTTTTTCTTCAGTTTTTTTTTTGTACCGTCTTTGTACTGTAGCTGAGCGTACTGGCTTTAAACACACGATGCATTTTTTTTTCTAATTTTTGTTGTTCGTTTCTCTTCGCTTCACAGCCCTTACGAGTGTCAGGTAAACAGAGAAGCCTTTGTGGACAGCATGAATGATTAATTTTAAGAATCGACCTGCTGTGAGCTTCCTCTGCTAGCGTACTGGTGCGGGGCTTTGGCGAATGGTGGAATGAGCCACAGTCCTACCAGGGTTCCCTAACCTAACCTAACCTAACCTAACCTAATATAACCCAGCTTTACTTAATTTAACCATTAAGAATAGGACCATCTTTAGGGTTCCGAACTTAATGGACACCAATTTTTAGGGCCCCCGACCTTGATACTCCCCAATCTTAATGGATTCTAGTCCTACAGAACCTCAATCCATCCTAATGAGTCACGATTATAATAGGTTAGATTGGTGCCTATTAGGACTACGACCCATTATTCCAACAACCAATTTTTTCCTACCGCTTTAATCTTTACTGTATTCTCTTTGTCTCATCTTATCCCCAGCGTTCCCATGTGTCAAGAAGGAGGAAGACCCTTTGATATACATGCACAGTCTGAATACATTATCTCCATTCCTCGAGCCACTCTAGAGTTTTTTCTTCTTCCCGTTCATTCTTACGCCTATAGGTATTTTGCCAGGTTGCGCGTCATATGAGCCCCAGTCTTGATAGGGCCCATCCTGATGTAACTTAGCTATTAGAGTATGAATCCATCATCTTTGGGGCCCATTAGAATTGAGACCCATTAGCACTGGGGTCCATTTCGACTGAGGTTCATTGGCATTGGGGTTCATAAGGACTGGGGCCTAATATGATTGGAATCCACTAAGACTGTGGCTCATCAAGAATTTACCTCTTTAGAAAAAAAAATACCAATAAGACTGGGGCCCATTTGGACTAAACGCCAATAAGACTGGGGCCCATTTGGACTAAACGCCAATAAGACTGGGGCCCATTTGGACTAAACATCAATAAGACTGGGCCCATTTGGACTAAACACCCCATTTGGGACTAAGACTTTGGACTAAACGCCAATAAGACTGGGCCCATTTGGACTAAACACCAATAAGACTGGGGCCCATTTGGACTAAACATCAATAAGACTGGGGCCCATTTGGACTAAACACCAATAAGACTGGGGCCCATTTGGACTAAACACCAATAAGACTGGGCCCATTTGGACTAAACACCAATAAGACTGGGGCCCATTTGGACTAAACGCCAATAAGACTGGGCCCATTTGGACTAAACATCAATAAGACTGGGCCCATTTGGACTAAACTCAATAAGACTGGGGCCCATTTGGACTAAACATCAATAAGACTGGGGCCCATTTGGACTAAACACCAATAAGACTGGGGCCCATTTGGACTAAACACCAATAAGACTGGGCCCATTTGGACTAAACACAATAAGACTGGGGCCCATTTGGACTAAACGCCAATAAGACTGGCCCATTTGGACTAAACGCCAATAAGACTGGGGCCCATTTGGACAAACACCAATAAGACTGGGGCCCATTTGGACTAAACACCAATAAGACTCGGGCCCATTTGGACTAAACACCAATAAGACTGGGGCCCATTTGGACTAAGACACCACAAGACTGGGGCCCATTTGGACTAAACACCAATAAGACTGGGCCCATTTGGAATAAACACCAATAACTGATTTGGACTAAACACCAATAAGACCCCATTTGGACTAAACACCAATAAGACTGGGGCCCATTTGGACTAAACGCCAATAAGACTGGGGCCCATTTGGACTAAACACCAATAAGACTGGGGCCCATTTGGACTAAACACCAATAAGACTGGGCCCATTTGGACTAAACACCAATAAGACTGGGGCCCATTTGACTAAACGACTGGGGCCCATTTGACTGAACTTCAATAAGACTGGGCCCATTTGGACTAAACACCAATATGACTGGGGCCATTTGGACTAAACGCCAATAAGACTGGGCCCATTTGGACTAAACACCAATAAGACTGGGGCCCATCTGGACTAAACACCAATAAGACTGGGCCCATTTGGACTAAACACCAATAAGACTGGGGCCCATTTGGACTAAACACCAATAAGACTGGGCCCATTTGGACTAAACACCAATAAGACTGGGGCCCATTTGACTGAACTTCAATAAGACTGGGGCCCATTTGGACTAAACACCAATAAGACTGGGGCCCATTTGGACTAAACTCCATTAGAACTTGGGCCCCTCTGACCTGTAACTCCCAGCTTCAAGAATCAGGAATTTTTGAAGACAAGCTGAATAGTTCAATTCCAGTCCTTGGCATAGTGTGTGTGTTGCTCCCCTTCTTGGCTCCTGTCCTGGTATTTTTGACAGAACGCTTTTTCTCTTCTCAAAGATTCTTGTTCGTCTTACTTCATTTTAACTCTCCTCCCAGTACCAGGAAAACATTGTGAATATTTCGACTTTCAATTATGGACCTGCTTCCAGTAGTGTGGCTGTTGATATTTATAGATTTTTATTGAGTTACCCCTGATCGTTTTCTTTTTTTTTCGTTTTACTTCCCTTTCTTGTAGTTTGGGACAGAAAAAGAAAATCTGTGTAGTCACTAAAGGAATCTGAATATTCTTTTTATGTTGAATCGTCACCGAAAAGTAATATTCTTGTGTAGGCAAAGTGTTGATACTGATCCTTCGTGAATTTTAGATTTAGTTATCTCTGTTCGTTGTCTCCTTCCTCATATCCTCTCCCCTGCTAGTGCCTCGGGAAAGGGTGTGTAGTCCACTTGAATATATTATTTTTAGCTCTTAATCCAATATGTTTGTACGGATTCTTCTTATTTATTTTTATTTGTATTTTAATTTTTTCCATAAATATTGTCGTTTTCGTTCTCCTAAAATTTACTCATGGGGCAAAACTCAAGAAAATCTCCCAGTCACCTGATTCCTTAAACTCTCTCCCTCAACCTACAATGCGTTTACTCTGCTGACATTCGGTTTTAGACTGTCCTTCTATTTTTAACTTTCCTATTCGAGTTTCCTCATCTGAATTCCCTCTGCAAGCTCCAGGAAAGAGGAAAGACCATGTAGAAAAGCCACGTATTTTAACTCAAACCCAAAACCCGCTACGCGAATTCCCTGCTGGTATTTTGGTGAGGAAATATCAATGTTGTTTATTAATTAATCTTTTATTTTAATTTGTTTCGTTTATTTATTTACTTTCATCCTAACTCGTCCTGCGCTCGTCACCACCACCACCACCATCATGTTACCACACACACCATCACCAGGAAGTGCCACCACCACACTATCACACCATCATCATCCGAACGCTGCCGCACCATTACCACCACAACATTATATACCGTACCACTGCAGCACTACAAAGCGTCACCATAACACCACACGGCACCACCTCAACACCACACAGTACCACCAAAACACCACACAGTACCACCATAAGACCACACAGTACCACCAAAACATCACATACCACCACAATATTACATACCAATAACACAATACAACCATATCAGTGCCACAACATATTACCACCACCGCCACCACAATAACATCACCTATCCCCACCAATTACCACAATCAATCAATCAATCAATCAATCAATCAATCAATCCCCACAACACCATAAACTTCCACCTTATACCACAGCCCATGTGAGGTTCTACACTGTTGTTACGTCTTTGATTCATTACTGTGAGTTAGTGTGATCGTTGGTGTGGTGAGGGAGGGAGGGAATCTGGTGTGGTGTTATGGTGTGGTGTGTGGTGTTATTGTGTGGTGCGGTGTGGTGGTGCTGTGATGTGTGTTTTTGTGGTGTGGTGGATGTGTGGGGTTTCGTGTGGTGTGGTGGTGTATGGTGTTGTGGCGTGTGGTGTGGTGGTGTATGGTGTTGTGGTGTGGTGGTGTGTGGTTTGGTGGTGGTGTATGGTATAGTGGTGTGTGTTTGGTGGTGGTGGTGGTGGTGGTGTATGGTATAGTGGTGTGTGTTTGGTGATGGTGGTGGTGTGTGGTATGGTGGTGTTGTGTGATGTTTTGGTGTGAAGGTAGTTTTGATAGTGTTGTCTGGTATCATGTTTGCAGTTTGTGATTGCACTGTGGGGAAGTGTGGTGGCAGTGTGGTGGCAGTGGTGGCAGTGTGGTGGCAGTGTGGTGAGTATATTTGTAGTTACGTTTGTGCTGGTGTTGTGATACGAGTAGTAAGTGTATGGTGTGGTAATGGTTATGTGTAGTGCAGGGTGAAACTAGGGACAAGTTTCTTTACCCCATTTACCTCTGTCTCCCCAGGCAGTAATTGGGAACCTGGATGTTAATCGATTTCCTGGTCGTATTCCGGGGTAATGGTTAGCCCGTGCAGTTGGCGAGTTGTCCGGTCTTCTCGGACTATTCCTTGACACTAGGTCATGCAACTCGTTAACTCAGGGTGTGGCTGTTGTGTTGGCAATAGCTTCTACACCTTCAACAAATTCACGCCCAGGTGGTCCTTGCGCCGGCCATCCCCGTTACACAAGGGGCAACCATTATGATATTATTTATGTGTAGTGTAGTGTACAGTGTAATTACGTGTAGTGCTGTATGGCGCATGTGTTGTGATGTATGGTGTATGTGTTATGATGTATGTGGTTGTATTGCTCTTCCAAAGTCTTTCATACACTCTTATGTTATCTCTCAAGTTCTTCTACTCTCACTCAGATGACTCCTCCCTTACTCTCCCACCATACCTAGGAGAGGAGTTGCCTCACCATTCCTCTCCTAGATTCTCCTTTATTCATTCAGACACTCTCGGGCTTTCACTGACTAATCCCTCTGTATCCAAAACTCTCCGTCCATCTCCCAGGCTCTCCCTTCTTCCTCCTCTCCCTGGCTCTCCCTTGTTCCTCCTCTCCCTTCACCCTGTTGTACCTGAGGTCAAGGGTGCCATCAGTGAAGAGGCTGGCGTGGGCGGTGAGGACCAGGCCCAGGGTGGTAGTGGTGGGGTCATCCTCCGAGGTGGCCGAGGGGTAACTCACCAGGTGCTCCTTAGCGATCTGTGGATGAGTTACAGTGAGTTACAGAGAGAGAAACACACGGTGATCACAGGACAATTATTCTTCCCCTTCCTAAGTTTATTTCAACTGATGATTAAACACCCTAATGCCACTTGGGGTTAGGTTAAGTTAGGGTAGTTTAGTTTAGGTTAGGCCAGGCCAGGTCAGGTCAGGTAAGGTCAGGTCAGGTTAGGTTAGGTCATGTCAGCGTTGGGGTAGGTAATCGTAGGTGAAATAACTTTGATGGTTATTCTTCAGGTGATACACACATTTTGCTACATGAGGCAGTTACAGAACGGTACAGTAATTTACAGGGTGATACAGCCATTTATAGGGAGTCACAATAAATTAATGGTGATACAGAGAGTCACCTACAAAGCTCAAGTAGGGCAGTACGATGATCCACAGGGGGTAGATAAGTAGGTACAGGGCGGTACAAAGAGTTAAATGACGATAAGGTTGCTACTAGAAATTACAGCTTTCCCGGATTATTTCACCTTAAGATTAACCATCCTAACCTAACCTAACCTAATCTATACCTTCAGTTAGGGTGAATAATTATCAGGTGAAGAAACTGGGGGAGCTAAACGTCACATGATCTTAAATAAGTTATAAGCGGTATGACACAATGAGTTAATGAAGCCAACAATACGGAGAAACAAATATCAAATAACAGGATTAAGTCTCACACATGATGATACAAGTACACACGAGGGTTATACCGTATTACACTGGCATTAACCTAACACACTGAATGGCATGTGGTAATGTTTGTGTGTGTGTGTGTGTGTGTGTGTGTGTGTGTGTGTGTGTGTGAGAGAGAGAGAGAAAGAAAACAGGAATAAAAAGGGTTGAGAATAAGAAATTAAACTAAGCAAGACAAAAGAAAAATTTGGTATAAAAAGGACGACATTTTAAGCGTTGCAAATGTTATCCGTCGAGGCTGGGAAGACACACGTCACTCAGTGCATTAATGGAGGTAATATTTCTTAATAAACTCAATGGGTGGGTGAGGAGAGGAGAGGAGAGGAGGCTTTTTGTACTAAGACTTAACAATGTTCATGCAGTTATTAACAGAATCATTTATGGTAAGGTCTGGGTTGATGTCATTCTGTGATGATTTTATGAGGGAGAAAGAATTGTGTGAGTGAGAAAGGATTTGTTAAAGAAAACTCGGGGAAGTAAGAGGGGAGTAAAGAACGCGAAAGATTGGGAGAAAGAGAGAAGACAAGATGATATTGTGAGAGAACGTAAATATAAGGGAGAAAAGGGGGAGAAAAGAAAGTGTAAGAGAGAGAGAGAGAGAGAGAGAGAGAGAGAGAGAGAGAGAGAGAGAGAGAGAGAGAGATCAGTGAATTTGACGATACTCGTTTTTGTAACAATCTCTCTTTCTTTTTTCTTTTATTAAATGTATAAACCTACAGCCAGAGAAAGAGATACGTTATAATTAACTCATGTAACATAGTTTATTGATCTAGTGCAACAAAAAACGTGGTACAACGTCATACCATAGAAAACGGGGCATAATTACCTCAGTCAACAGAGAACGTAGTATAATTACCTCTCACAAAAGAAAATGGAGTACATTTTTCTCACTACCATCACCCTCTTATTGTGTGTGTTTTTTTGTTTTTTTTTAAGTTAACGTAAAAACTCTCATCACAAGAACATACTCGTATATTGAGAAGGTGTTTCCATTGCCTGAGACACTGAACATCCTCCTAACATACACAATTTACACAATTAGCTTTACATTTTCAGAATACAAACTGGACGATTAAAACAGATCGCCCTTTGGTATATGGAAACATAAACATTATTTCAAGATGATGTTAACAATTTATGTACGTCACAATTTTCTAGGCAGACTTTCAATATTTTCTCGAGTACAAACATTCCAATGATAAAAGGTTAACTCAGACTTAAGACAAACTCTACTTAACTTAAATTGCAACGTGGCACGGGAGAGAAAGAGAGTGAGGAGGGGGGGGGGCAGGAGAAAGACTAAGAAAATGACCTATTTGTCCCAATTAGCACATTAATAACTAATTAGCAGTTATTTGGGTAATGGTGTCTTGGCAGGTGAGGCTGAGAGAAAGTGGAAAGAGAAGAAAGTGGAGGTTAGGAGATTATAAAGAAAGGGAACTGTTATACTTAGCGGAATTGAAGGTTACGGAGTGTTAGGATGAGGGAAAAAATGACTGTAAAGAAAAGAAAGAAACATGGAAAGTGAGCCCAGAAGAAAGGGAGGGCCAAAGGTAGCATATAAAAAGCAAGAGGCACACTAGGAGAAAGTAAGGAGATGAAATAGTGTAATGAGAGAAGTTAGAGTGTCGGGACGTGAAGACAAGAACAAATAAGTTATACAAAGTGAAAGAAAAGGACTTTTAGACCGAGAGAAAGGGGTATTAGAGAAAGAGACCAACGTTAAGATGGATAATTTAAGGAGAAAGAGAATGTGAAACACGGAAGCAGTGGTAAATAGAGAGAGAGAGAGAGAGAGAGAGAGAGAGAGAGAGAGAGAGAGAGAGAGAGAGAGAGAGAGAGGACGTTATTTTGAGTATGGGAAAAATAAATGGAAAATCGTATGAAATTTAAGTGTGAAAAAATGCCCTCTGAACATTATAAGAACCCGTCATCTAACTCTGAACACACATCAGAACGCCATCGTGTATCCTGTAAATACTTCAGAACTCCTTCTCTTTTCTCTAAATACTCCAGGCTTTTATCTCTTCCCTTTAACTGTTTCAGATCTCCTTTTCTTCCCTATAAATACTTCACATCTCCTTCCTAAATATTTTACGACTTAATCCTTTATAGAAGATCTCAAGAACTCCATATAATTTTTTCCTCCTCAGACCTCTCCAGAACTCTTCAATCACCAAACTCACTAAACCACTCCTTACACACACACACACACACACACACACACCTCCGTCACTTCCACACTCACTCACTCACTCGACATCCCAAGTCTCCCCCCCCCACTTCTCCCTTACTCCATCCCACACTCCTTCTCACCCCACCACAAAAAAGGTCCTTCAGCCAAGCACTTTACAAGATTACTCCCCATCTTAGAGTTTCTTGAATATACACACAAACGAAGGAGTGACTTGGTTTGAGGAAATGGTTTTATCGGTCTGCAGGGAATACTTGAGTCGGTACACCTGAGTTATGAGATTGACTATTATATATAAGTCCGTCGTGTGGACTCCCCCTCCCCCCCCCCTCCTCTCATCGAAGGTTACATGTGTGGTAATGCATGAAATTGATAATGATGATAATGAAATAATGAGAGTTTATTTTGAGAATAATAATAGTAATGAAATTGATAAATGTTTCAGTAGGCCAACTTATAAGGTTGGGTAGTTTAAAGACAGAATTATAATAATAATAATAATAATAATAATAATAATAATAATAATAATAATAATAATAATAATAATATGGACAAATTGATAAACAGACACTGAATATCTTGGAAAAACGAAAGAAATACAATTTGTAAGGCATAACCGTGTGTGTAGACATATTAAGTGAACGTCATGTAGGAAACGCAGATATAAATGAGTGCTGCCTAAAGTAAATTGACACATCCAGTATATGAAGCGTAAAGACGTGTCCGAGCGAACGCCAAGATACGTAGAGAGTTTGGTGTATAAAGTGAACGCCATCCACTGTAAAAACGTGCATAGGTTAACAAAAAAAACCCGTAGAGACGTTTATAAGTGAACAACGTCTAGTGAGCGTAGAGAGCGAATTAACATAATTGAACGTTATTAAAGAACGTGTACAGTATACGTGAACGCTATTAGAGAGCGTGTACAGTATAAATGAACGCTATTATAGAACGTGTACAGTGTAAGTGAACGCTATTAGAGAACGTGTACAGTATAAGTGAACGCTATTATAGAACGTGTACAGTATAAGTGAACGCTATTATAGAACGTGTACAGCATAAGTGAACGCTATTATAGAACGTGTACAGTATAAGTGAGCGCCATCAAGAGAACATGTATAAGTGAACGCCATTAAGGGACTCTATGATGGAATAAGGATTGCTCAGCAGGGCCATATACGAGACATTAGTAGAAGGATCTTATGTTATTATCATCACCCCTGAGAGAGAGAGAGAGAGAGAGAGAGAGAGAGAGAGAGAGAGAGAGAGAGAGAGAAAGAAAGAGAGAGAGAGATCCTAATATGCAACACCTGGAGTTTGTTTCTTTCCTTCTCTGAATACTAAACTTTTCCTAAATTCCAACCAGCCAGAAATCTTCATGGTAGTCGATCGTTCGGTCCGTTATGTCTGTTTGGTTTGTCTGTCAGTCTGCCTGTTTATCTGTCTGTCTATTTTGTTTGTCTTTATTGAAGGTTGGATGGTTTGTATGTCTGCCTGTCTGTTTCTATTCCTGTCTGTCTATCTGTCCGTCTTGTTTATATTCATTGACGGTTGGATAGAATGTCTGTGTGTCTGTCAGTTTGTCAATCTCTCAGTCTGTTTGTCTGTCAAGTTTCATGTCAATTAGTCTATCTGTGGCTCATACCATCAAAATTTATTGATTTTTTTTTTTTTTGGTAACGGCAGAGACCATCACGCCATCTGTCGATCTGTCTGTCTGTTTGTTACACGCGTCAGTTAATTCTGTCAATCGGTGGTAAACAGAAGGAATATCCCTTAGAAGACAGACTATGACTATTGTGACCTTGGTGAAGTGGTAGTGGTCAATGAACGTCACAATGAACGTCACAATGAACGTCACAATGAGAACATGACCATCACTGCTCCTCCATCGGGGTGTTAACTGGGCAGCATTCCTTAAGTGACGGACGGGAAGAAATACGGACAGATAGATGGATAGAAAGTAGGACAGAAGAGTGGAAGGATAGAGAAACAAACAGACGGAAGGAAATACGGACAGATAGATGGATGGAAAGTAGTACAGACGGGGGAAGGTACAGATAAACGGACGGACAGACAGCCGATAAAGGCCTCTGGGTTA